TTGAAAACATTTGTGTCTGTCACTTAAATTGTGTTTTACGTGGACATAACTCCCTGTTGATAGCTGTATTTCTTCAGTACTTCAATGACTGCTCTCTCTCCTGTTTCGTAGCGGGTATTGTTGCTGCTAGGAAGGCTGACAGCCTCCTCCTCCTCTTCTTCTTTCCCTTTCACTTTCTCCTTCTCCTCCTCCTGGAACACTGAAATTTCCAAAGAATTTCCAAAGAAAATTCCAAAGAATCCGGAGCCAATAGTTTCATGTTAAGCTTCTGCATTCTTTTCCTTTTTCAAGTACGCATATTATATCCCTGTGACAACTCATGGGTATTTGAAATCTGTCTGGGTTGGATTTGGGGTGAACTCCTCCCTAGAATCTTCTAGTCATCAGTTGTTCCTTTACTGAGACTCAAATTCATGGCATCTCTTAAACATTTTAAAATACCGAGAGCCACATTTCAATTTCTAAGGGTTCTATTTTGGTTATTTTGCATATTCATCTATGCTTGTTTCATTTTTGCCTGATTGTGTTTCTTAATAGCTACATTTTTTAAACTGTTATTCTCTTATCTATTTGAGCTTTTGTTATTTTAACCAATTTGTTATAGTTCATCAAAATTTATTTTCCTCTGGGATATATTTAAGTTCTGATTTCATATTTTACTGACTATATTATTTTTAGGATTAAATTTCATGGATTTCAGAATTTTGATTTACAAGATTACTTCGAAGTATTTGTTGTTGTTTTCAGTCTGATTTTTTCCCCTCTTCTCTCCCTTCTCTCCCATTTCTCTAAATCCACTGGCTCTGTGTATTTCTACTTGATTCCGGGGTTTCTACTTCAAAACCAAGTCTGTACTGGAAAGGGAGCTCAGAGCTTTTGGATGTAGCAATACCATAGCTCCAGGCACCAAGGCAGAACATGGCCTGGGTCTCTTCCTGGTTTCAAGTCTACACACTGTGTCTTCTCACTTCCTTTGGGCCCAGAGAGTCCCCTAATCATAGTTCATGCAGCTACTGGCAAGGACAATGATCTGAATCCAGATCCCATGTGTAAAGTGGAGTGGACCTGAGTCATCAGCTACATCACTGAATTTTGGAACAGGAGACCAGCAGGCCTGTGGCCTCTGCCCATCTCATTCTTTTTCATTCTGTTGCTTCTTCACAATTTGTGGCATACTAATCACTGCCCCCATAATGTCATTTTTTTAAAAAGTGGTATAAGTGCACCCGTGTTTATAGCAGCACAATTTGTAATAGCCAGATCTTGGAAACAACCTAAGTGTCCATCAACTGAGGAATGGATAAAAAAGTTGTGGTATTTTTATACAATGGAGTACTACTCAGCTATAAAGAATGATCACATTGAGATATTTATAAATAAACAGATGCAACTTGAGACCATACTCAGAAGTGAAATAAATCAAATTCACATGTATAAATATCACATAGTCTCCCTAGTGTAAGAAATGGTGAGAGTACATAAGAGTTCATGGTAATCAGGATTCCCCATTACATTGCTTTGAACCCATATAATATTTCCATTCATTAGTTGGGATAGTTTTATCCTGACTTGTTTGATTTTATTATCTGTGATAGTATGAACAGGTATTTTGAAGAAAACAAGTCATTATTATATCCAGTGCTGATTTAATATCATCTTACTCTGAAGTTCTACCATGCTTTTGTTTTTCTGTTTTCACTGGCTCTATCATATTGTATCTTATTGGATTTTATTATATGTGATAGTATAGATAAATTTTCTATGGGAAATGAGATAATATAGTAGCCATTGTTCATTCTCTGTTATTTGGTTCTGAGTGCCCTTGTAATATTTTTATTCTCTTGAATGGTTTTATACTATTTTGTTCTGTTTGGTACTATTGTATATGAAATTATGCTCAACTATTTCAAAGGAAGAGACATTATGGTAGTTACTGTTAATTACGGGTTGTCTTGTGGTGAAATACTGTGTTGCTTACATTGTTCTGTTCTGATCTGCTTTGTTATGTCCTCTTTTAACCTTCATGACCTCATAAACGAATTTAAAACTGTACTTCTGATCCAAGTGAGGCAAGATATAAAGAAATTAATTAAAGAAATGATAAGCTCCTCCCAAGAGAACACAGATGGAAGAATGGAGGAAATCAGAAGAGAAAGAGAAACCTCTGATGAAGAATTTAATCATAATCTAGAATACATGAAACAGATCCAAAGAGATTCCAAGGGAAAACTCCACTGAACACTGGCAAAATGCCTTGACAGAAACTAAAGTTAGCCTTTTGAAACTTGAAGAGAGATTTATGATATATGGTCACCAAAGAAAAGATCTCTTAAAAATAACGAGGAACTAGAAAGAAACAATTCAAAGGCTAGAAGACAACAAAAGGATACATAACTTAAGAATAAAGACAAAGGATACATAACTTAAGAATAAAGACAAAGGATACATAACTTAAGAATAAAGCACATGATAACTTAAGAATAAAGCACGTGATAACTTAAGAATAAAGCACATGAGCGAGGAAGCAGGAGTAACCAAAAATGAACTACAAAGAATATTCACAGATACATTAAAGGAAAACTTCCCAAGCACAGGAAAAAGAAATGATATCCAGATAAATGAGGCATACAGAACTCAAGCCACCTACAACCAAAACAGATCTACACTCAGACATATAATAATCAAGATTCCAGAAAGCCATCAAAAGAACAGAATACTAAAAGCAGCCAGGGAAAAGAAGCAGATTACTTACAATTGGAAAATTATCAAAATAACAACAGACTTATCAACACAAACTCTCAAATTGAGAAGAGCTTGGGGAGAAATTATCCAAGCCCTGAAAGAAAATAATTTGCAGCCAAGACTGATGTATCCAGAAAATGCTCTCTCAAAATTAATGGAGAAATAAGATGTTTCCAAGACAAGGAGGAACTGTGGGAGTTCATGGCCACCAACCCAACCCTACAAGAGTGCTGAAGGACATTCCAGAGAGAAAGAGGAAGGGATACCAGCATTCCAGAAACAGTGGCAGAGAGGCCTCAATGAATGGGGCAGACAGTGGATGAGGGAGTAAAGTGGACAAATTATAGCAGTAATGTGGAGTAGCAGACACAAGGCAGAGATGGTAAACTATAATCTTTAATACAGATAGCCTTGATACACTAAAATAAAAAAAAGGCAGAGTAGATTAGGAGACAGGCTCTATCGAGATGCTCTGAATGGGAAATACACTCAACCCAAAGGAGGGTTAATAAACTGAAAGTCAAAGATGAGAAAGCAAAGCTATATGCGGCAGGAAACCAGAGAGAAATAGGGACCACTCATCCAGCAGCCACAGAAGATTGGAAAGCTATGATACTTTTGGGCAGTGTAGAACTACACAGCTGGAAGGAAGGAAAACCCTGTGACTTTAGTGAGTAAAGGAGTACAGCTCAAGATCAAGCTCAGGGGTAGAAAGGTTTAGCAACACTCACATAGACAACGGGCTGGCTCCCTAATCTAGAAACTAAAGGGGCTAGTGAGACCCAAAACATACAAAGCATCCTGAGAAGGGGAAAGGTGAAAAATAGCCTAAAAAGGGAAGGCAGAGGTCATTGTTAATAGTGTATCAGGATTTAAAAGTCATAGTAGTCTTATCACTCTGTTTAGTTTGAATTTATTTTGTTCCGGTCTGTCCACTCATATCAGATTTGGAGGCACAGACATCTAACCCCAAAATAGCAGGTTATACCATGATAACTATCCTTAATTTCCTATTAACTTAAACTGAAACCCTGTATTACTTACATTGCCTTACTATGACTGATCTTATTTGACTTTGGTTTGTTAGACTGCGGTTTTGCCTTGGCTGATTTTATTCAGATTTTTTGTGCTTGATAGTATCAAGTCTAAAAGTAGAGCCAACTACTCTGAAGATGACAAGATGTAAAAAGTATCCATACCAGTTTTGATTATTAACCACTCTCAAGTCCTACAATATTTTCAAAGTTGTGTTTTTTATAAAAATAGCTATGTAATACTATGCTTAACTATATTAAGCTGATGATGTGGGCAACTCTATTGAAAATAACAAGAGAAAGCATAGTAACTACAGTAGATCACCTAATATTGTGGTCTTATGTGTCTTTTTCATTGCATGTTTTCCTAGGAATTTGTTTTACTGTCTTGTTATGATTTGTTTTTCCCTATAATACAGAGAGGATAGCTATACATGTAGAAAATCACACATGGGAAGAAATTTTTAAACTATTTACAGGAACAGATTATACAATACAGGATGTAATGAATAGATACTCTGAAGAAGAAGAGACACTAAGAAACCCAATGCTAATTCTGTAATATTATGATATAAAATCTAGCAATACTATTATTTACTGTTCAGAGTGATATTAGTCTAGTTTCTTAAATTCAGTTTCAGCATATGTTAAGATAAGGACAGCTACTACAAAGAGAATGAGAGACACTATGGTAGTCATTATTGTCTTCCCCAATGTCAGATCTTGAAGACCTAAAAAGTCTTCATCATCCTGTAATGATTTGATTAGTTCTATAATATGCAGTATGTATTCAATGTGTGTGAAGATGGGGACAACTATTTGGAAGAAAACTATATACAATAAGATAGACAGTGAAGATCTCCTGTGGACTTGCTTTGAAATCTGTATTTCTTTAAATTGTTTCTTTTTGAACTGTTTTGTTCTGTTTTGATATGTTTAATCTTACCCTCTTTAAGATAAAAAACAAGTGTGTAGGACTGAGAACCATATTACTAAATTTTTGTTGGATCATTGAGCAGAACTGTTGGCAGTTTCACTGTTTGAATGTCACTTTACATACTTTAATTTTGTAACCTGAACAACTATTTCTAAGATTACAGTATGTAACTTATCAACTGGTGATTTCTTAATGTTTATTTTTCTGTAATTCTGTATTATTTCTATCCTTTTTTTCTCCATTTTTGGGGGGTTTCCTTCTCTTTAAATTAAAAAAAAGTCTACCTTGTGCTCACTTTGGCACCACATATACTAAAATTGGAATGGTACAGAGATTAGCATGGCCCTTGAGCAAGGATGACGCATAAATCTGTGAAATGTTCCATATTAAAAAAAAAAAGTTTGCCTTGTAATTCCTTCAGTTTTCTATGATAAACAAGTGGCTGTTAATTAGTAAATAGGCCTTCTGGTGACATACTTTATGACACGATGGAAATTTTGAATAGCAAAGTTAAGATGATTTACTAAATATAAAAAGAACGGGGCACAATTTTCCCTGTCAAGGATGAAACTGGTCTTACTGGAGCAAGAGACGTGTGTCTGAACTAACAGGCAAGATTTTGGTCCCTCAGAACCTAAAATCTAGAAAAAGCTAAATATGTTCGCTTAAGGTTTTAAGCAAAGCATGTTAAATCATAGAATCTTAGAGCCTGAAGTGACATCAAAGGTCATGTATTTATGATTCCCTCATTTCTGGATCTGGAAAAGCACATTAAGAAAAACTGAAGGTCTTGCTCAAGGTTGCATATCAGCTAGTGCTTGAATAATTGGATCCTTTTAGGTTTGAATTTCTGCAACAAAGTTGGCAATACTTGTATCACAATGAACTAGAAGGTTTGATAAATGACTTTTACTGTGATGCCTAATTATTTACAAAGTGGCGGTACTTCATAGAACAAATCACAAAGAGGTTTCTTAGGGTCTCAGTTTCAATCTACTATTTGTGTTTTGCAAAACACAAATATGTGCATACCAGCATCTCTTGCTCCAGATAGAAATCTGAGTCTGCAAGAACGCCCTTATTCTTTCACCTGAAAGTCCTATTAATTTTCAAATTTGGACAAATAGAGGGAAATGAAAATTAGATTTAGAAGTAAAAATATTATATATTTCTACATCTGTAGTTATAAGCATCAAAATCCGACTCTTGCTGATGAGACTAAATAAACTTGTTGAGAGGATGACAAACCCAAAGCTGAGGATAAGCTTCTAAGAATAGCCTAACATTTTAGCAGCATCCTGCTCAGAAATATCATTACTGCTCCAAGCAGAGCACACTAGATAGGTGTTTACAGGAATTTAATTTTACTGAAAAGACAACTGCCACCAGCATCACCATCATTCCTGCTGTGGCTCACACCCTCTGCAGACCCAGGAGTCGCTCCTACCATTCTCCGTGGCACAATGGACCCTTTGCAAAACTGTCTTCCACAAACCAGAGATGTTCTGGGATGTATCTAAGCAGTGGACTCTGATTCATGTGCTAACAAGTTAGCTGCCAATGAGGGGATAGGGAAACCAGTTTTCTGTGTCCAATCTTGGAGAGTCAGGGCTCTTCATGTGGAAACTTCTCCCATTATACCCATAGCATTCAGGTACCAAGAGTCTTAGGAAGTTTGCTATATTTACTGCATTAAAAAACAACAACTAAAATTGTCAAATAAATGAGGGGCTGATGTGTCTACAGAACAGTATGTGGGGCAGGCCATTCCTTGGCCAGCTGCTGTCCATCCACCCTTCTCACTGCACTCTCTGCCCTTCTCCACCCTGCACGGTGCCCTGAAGGCTGACTTACATAACCCACCTCTCTTGTTGCCTTCTGCTTCCAGATGGGTTTGCCTGGCAGAAGGGCCAGCAAAAGTCAGGAAGGTACAGAAGGGTGACAGGTGAACATGTAGGCCTTTAAGTCCTTCCAGACTGGGCTGTGGATTGCTTCTCTCTTGACAGGACCTTTTGGGTAAGTTGTATTATAGCTAGAGTTACGGCCACCAAGTCTTCATCCTGACCTTCAGGTCTAGTGATCCCCATGAGAGAACCTGAGACACTCGGTCATCTCTTGTGGTTTCCCTCAGCCCTCATTACATCTGCTCAGAGGCTTTTAACAATTCTCCTCAGTGATCCCATTTGCCTGTATTATCAGTTCCCTGTCGGGATTCTGACTAATACACCTACCCCTACCATAACATGTTTATATCTTATTTTCTCACCTCACCCAAGTGCTAGAATATATTTCCTTTCATTTTCTTCTGAAACACTAATCACTGATTAATTTAATTAAATGAAGACAGTATTTTAAAATATGACAATAGAATAAATTGGTCATTGAAAGTTTGAAATTTATTTTATTTTGTGTAGCTCTAGCTAAGCTCTTTTTATTCCTGGCAAGCACCATATAGAGCTCTAAAATATCATGCAGTTGCAGATCTGTTGTAGACCAGGAGAGACTAGAGCATTTATACCTTTTTGAGAAAAATACTCTGGCTGGTTCTGAGGCAAATCACAGATAGATTTTAGGGAAGATGGATTCACAGAAGCAACACAAAGTGGTACTATTGTTCTTGTCTCTTCACGTGTGACAGTGGACAGAAAGCCTCCTTAACACCACAACTCTGAAAATGCTACAATTAGTACTCTGAGTGGAATGTGTCTTGATAGGAAAACTGGGTGTGTCTAAGTTCTTGTAAAGTACTATAAAATACTTGTTTAAATAGCTATTTCCCTGGGCTGCTTCTGACTGATGTATAATTTCATCTCACATTCTAACAGAGGATATCTCAGCAATTTCTGCCACCTGTAACATAAACCACTCTACACATAAATCAACCAGTATGGTATAGCAATGAATCTGTGGAATCTGTTGCACTCTGATTTCTAAAAGAAAAGAAAATCCCAAGAAACCAAAGCCATAATGAAGCAACAGAGTAAAAGACAAATTGGCAGCAGAAGTTCAACCCAACTCGTACATCTACCCTCGGTCTCGTGTATATAATCACCGATCTTCAGAATGGTAGGCATGGGAACTGCTGCATTGGTTTTGGTCTCAAATAACTGCTTTAGTATATTCAGTATTTACTAAATGCCTTTTGGGTTCCTTGCTGTCCTCTAGGTTTTATAGAGATGACAAAATATGACACATGGTGGCCATCTTCAAACCATTTACTGGGAGCCATTTAATGGGAACAGTGAAAATTATTTAAATCATATTATTACACTCAATTGGAGGCATTCAATGGAGAGAAATTCAGGGAAATCTGGCATGATGCATATCTCCGTGTTTCTAACTAGTCAGTCAGCTTGAACCAGTGAATTTTGGCTGGTGACCTAATTGGCCAGTGTAATCACACCTTCCCTGAGTGCAGTTTGAAATTGTGTTCCATTTTCTGCTGCCATATCATAAATACTTATAAACCTGTTGCAAAATGATGGTTCTAAAAGTAGATTTCTTACACCCTGCACTTGCACAATTTACTTCTTAAACCTACAAATAAAACTTCATATTCAACCCTATTGATTATCGTGGCAGTTTGAAGTCATTTTAACTTATTTAAAACAATCTGGACCTGTGCTCACTCAATTGATTAGCTTTTCCTTCCCAACTTTGATCACCTAAAACTGCTCCTTAGTTAGACCTTAATTATAAGGAATTTTAGTGCACTGTAAAGCTTATGAAAAATTTTCAGTATGATTGTTTGTTGTCATCAAAATTTCAAAGCAATGATTGTTCTTTTTCACACAGGTGGGTTACTGATGCATGAGACAGTTTATAAACTCATACAAAAGCAGGAAAAGGACACATGTTTTCAGACCAGTACCTTGGTTTGCTTTTTTTCTTTAAAATATGACATGCTTTAAGCCAGCAGTAGTGGCATATACCTGCAATTCAAGATTGTAAGTTCAACTTAGTGACTGTGATTGCAACTTAGTGACTGTGAGGCTTTGTTTGCAAATTTAAAAAAGAAAATTTTAAAGGACCAGGAATGTAGACTAGTGTGAAGGCCCTGGGTTCATTTTCCAGTATTACACTAAAACCAAAAACTTTTTATTTTCATTTATTTTTAATTTGAATGTAATACATTAAATATATAAAATATTGGTTAACACCAAACATTGCAGATAAGTGATCATCCCTTTGATCTTTCCTCCAACCCTCCAGCCCTCCCCAAAGCTATTCACCCAGCTCAATTTAGTGAATATTCTGTAAGACCTTTTCTTTTATACATCTCCACTTTTAAAATAGTTTATTTTGTGGGATGTCATATTGTATTTGTTCTTCAAAAACTTTCTTTTGGCAGATCATGATATATTAGAACCTTTTTGGTATCAGCATTTACATATATTACTCATCTTTTTATTCAAAGCACAGCATTCTATTATAGGGAAGTACATACAGATGGTGTGATTTAGGATGCCTCAGTTTTTCGATTTTTTTCTTTTTTTTTAATTTTAAAGAGAATAAAACAAAAGAGAACAGAATAAAGCAAATCAGAACAGAGCAATGCAAGCAACACAGCACTTCACAACAAGACAACTGGATATCAACAGTGGCTACCATAATGTCTCTTTTCTGTGAAATAGTTGAGCATACCTTCACACTCAGTAGTATCAAACATAACAAAATAGTATAAAACCATTCAAGAGAATGAAAGTATTAAAGGACATTCAAAAGAAAATAACAAAAAATGAAAAATGGCTACTATAATATCTCATTTTCCTTAAAAAATTGTTTATACTATCACACATATTAAAATCCAATAAGACACAATATGATAGAACCAATGGAATCAGAAAAACAAAAGCATGGTAGGACTTCAAAGCAAGATGATATTAAATCAGCAGTGGCTGCCATAATGTCTTGTTTTTCTCAAATTAGCTGTTTATACCATCACATGTAATAATATCAAACAAAATAGAACAAAACCGTTCCAACCAATGAATGAAAACATTATAAGACTTCAAAGCAATATAATGGGAAACCATTATTACCATAAAATCTTATATACTCTTAACATTTCTTACACTAGGAGACTATATGATATTTATACATGTCAGTTTGATTTATTTCACTATGAGTATGGTCTCAAGTTGTATCCATTTATTTATGAATATCTCAATGTGATCATTCATTATAGCTGAGTAGTACTCCATTGTATAAAAATACCACAACTTTTTCATTCATTCCTCAGTTGATGGGCATTTAAGTTGTTTCCAAGAGCTGGCTATTATAAATTGTGCTGCTATAAACATGGGTACACATATATCACTGTGGTATGATGTTTTCAGTTCTTCTGGGAATATGCCTAGAAGTGGAATAGCTGGGTCAAATGGGACTTCC